TGTAGGGAACCTTTTAGTTTTTAATATTCTGTAAGTTCTCCATATTTGCTACATTGTCGTTATGCCCGGCTGTGAGGGTGTTTTCTGTAAACACCATTGTAAGTCTTCAACCACACTATCACCATGCTCTTTGTGTTAAGATGACCTCTGTCCACCCACTCAGGCTGACTAAAGGCCAAGGATAAAATTGTCATTGTTTTGTCAAGGCCACTGGTAAATTGGAGGATTTACAGTACATCACAGACATCTGTCCATAGTTCTGACACGTACTTCGACCGACATGTAACAATAGGAAAACATCACGGATTTTTTAGAGTGGTGTGTTGGTGGAACAGTACCTTTGTATCTAAAATAGTTAAGTTTTTAGCAGGAGAATCATTACAAAATGTGTACATTTTTGTATTATAATAATATATAATAATAATAATATATATAATAATATAATATAGTGATCAAAGTAATAGATGACAAAGTCAAAGGCGAAAGGGAAAGATTTTTAGGCAACGTTTTGTAGCCCCACATTGGGTGCAATGTTTAACAATGGCCACTAGATGGTGCAACAATCATTAGTAACCCAGTGGTGAAGCCACAAGTTATGTTTGTCTTCTGTGCTGTTTCGTTTTAATATCAGGCAGATTTTATGACATGACTATATTATTGATATTGATGTTGATGTTTATTAATTTTTTTGTTATGTGTCTTTTTTTTTTTTTAGAGAGGCCTTTAGGGGAAGAACAAAACTGGAGCAGGCTGCAGCTCACTCTGGTCATCCTGGTTCCATCCTGCCTTCTGCTGTTGGGGATCCTTGCCACTGTGTTTTTTGTACAGGGCAACCTGTGTGCCTACAGCCGCTCCCACATACAGGACCCTGAAGACCGCCTGGATGATCACACCTTAATGTCCCCGGACAAATGTCTTAAAGAGCTGATCTACGACATGAGCACCTCGGGTTCAGGATCAGGTGAGACAATGCTACAGCCACTGTCTTCAACAGGGCTAACAACAAACATTTGTAGCCCCTGTTGAGATTTTTTTTGTTCCGCATCTCACAGGTTTACCACACCTGGTCCAGAGAACCATAGCTCGGACCATTGTGCTGCAGGAGACCATAGGGAAGGGTCGATTTGGCGAAGTGTGGCGAGGCAAGTGGCGAGGGGAGGATGTGGCGGTGAAGATCTTCTCCACCAGGGACGAGAGCTCATGGTTCCGTGAGGCCGAGATCTATCAGACCATCATGCTCAGACATGAGAACATACTTGGATTCATTGCTGCCGACAACAAAGGTCGCAGAAAGTCTGGATGTATAAGGAACTTTACAGATGTAGCGTTCCTTTAACATCACACCAGCCTTGATGAAGTAATCTGTGGTGTGTGTTACTGCTGTGTGCTGCAGATAATGGCCTGTGGACTCAGCTCTGGTTGGTGTCAGAGTACCATGAACACGGCTCACTGTACGACTACCTGAGCAGATACACAGTCTCTGTGGAAGCTATGATCGTCCTGGCTCTGTCTGTGGCCAGTGGCCTGGCTCACCTCCACATGGAAATCATTGGAACACAAGGTAGGAGTGCGTTTGAGAAATTACCCACGTCAGGCCCTGGGACTATGGCCAGATGTCAGAAAGATGAGGGCATTGTAAAATCTATATTCTGGTTCTCTACATATGTTCTAAATACTTTGAGATTAAAATGTTTGTAAAAAAAAGAGGGAATAAAGTAACCATATAACGCTGCCTAAAATGGTTGTACACTACTGCCTGTAATTTCAATTACAATTTGGTTGGTTTGATTGACACCTCTTAAAAATGGACTAAATTCAAATCTTGTTTTGTTTCACCCATGGTTAAAATTCAGACAAAATTGTTTTCACATGTAATGAGTCACCACCAAATCCTTGTGTTTTATATCATTTTTTTTTTTTTTTACACTAATTATACCAGGAAAGCCGGCCATCGCTCACAGAGACCTGAAGTCTAAAAATGTCCTGGTGAAGAAGAACGGTGTTGCAGCCATTGCTGACCTGGGTTTGGCCGTGAAACATGACTCTGTCACCAACACCATAGACATACCATCCAACCACAGAGTGGGAACCAAGAGGTGGGACGGTTTAGTCCAAAGCACTATATATATAATCTTTATATTTATAATATATCAATAATTATTTTTCGCCTGCAGGTACATGGCTCCAGAAATCCTGGATGAGACGATCGATATCAACAACTTTGAGTCGTTCAAGCGAGTGGACATCTATTCGCTCGGTCTAGTTTTCTGGGAACTTGCTCGAAGATGTTCTGTTAGAGGTTAATTTTTTTTTACATAATCTTACTATAACCAACAACAAAAACTAGAGGAAATACATTTAAAAAAAATTCAAATATGTGTTGTGATTATATACAACTCTCGGTGTGGAAGAACAATAAAACTTTTTTTTTTATTTTATTTTATTTTAACAGAACTTAATGAAGATTTCCAGCTGCCTTATTACGACCTTGTGCCTTCAGACCCATCCATCGAGGACATGAGGAAAGTGGTGTGTGACCAGAAACTTCGACCCAACATACCCAACCAGTGGCAGAGTTGTGAGGTGAAACTCAAATGAGAAAAAATAGATAATTTACTTTTAAAATCAGAGACCTTTTAAAATCATAACTGTCTGTAAAAAGTTTGATCTGGAATTTCCTGGAAATGTCTCTGTGGTAAATATACTTCAAACTAATAAACAACCCTAATCACCATCTTTCTCATTTTTTTAAAAAGGGTGTCATCTGCATAGTGAGAGAACATAATGTAATATTAAAGTAGTAAAAAATACGAAGCAAGAAAACCAGTAAAGATAAAAAATACATATGGAGATGAGAGACAAAAATAAATTTAAATCATGTTGAAAATGTAATTTTTTTTAAGATGCTTTTGAAAACGTAGAAAGGTAAGGATGGAAAAAAAAGGCAATTAAAGCTTCACCATTTTTTATTTTATTTTGCATTGTAACTGTTTCCATGTTCGCACTGCAGGCCCTTCGTGTGATGGGTAAACTGATGAGGGAGTGCTGGTACGCTAACTCCGCTGCTCGACTCACAGCTCTACGGGTCAAGAAGTCTCTGTCTCAGCTGTCGGTGGTCAAAGACGTCAAAGGCCAGCAGCAATGAAAGGAACTTGGAGAAACATTTCTCTCTCTGTGGCCACCTGAAGCTGCATCTGAGCCATTCAACCTCAGAGAGCAGGACATCAGCTGGTTGTTGTTGGTGCCAAAGTCTTGTAGGAGGTTTCGCACGGACACTGAGACGCTCCCACAGCCATACGAAACTGAAGTATGTTTAATGTATGTACAAACTATTTTTGCTACCTCACACATTTAAGTTGCCAAAGCTTGAAGTTGCACATTGTGGTGTACTGTTTTTGTGCCATATGTTGTAGCAGTGAACACACGGTGTTGCTGGGTTAGGCGCTATGCTCACATTGACAATCCAGAAAGAGACAAATCCAGATTATTCAGAACCACTGGTCTGTTGGATTACATCAATAATTGAAGGGACAGATTCAAGCACAGATGTGAAACAAATAAAGTCTAATTATAAGGTTAGATTTCAAATACATCCACACTAACTGACCTGAGATTTAAAAAATACCACTGCACAGCAACAAACACAAATGTTCCAAAACGTATATGTAAGGAAATACAATGAGCTGGTTTTAATTTGCTAACAATTTAAATTCTCTGTGTGAAACCTGGGCCTGTTTAGTTGAACACAGAGACAGAAATTGAAGAAAGACACAATCTTCGTCAACAGTTCTGAGTCTATCCCTTATTTTAGTTTTGTATAACTTTCTGCTGCCATCTAGTGGAGTATGTAATTGTCTGCCTTGTCACCGTCCCATAGACGAACAAAGGGAAATTATTTGCTGTAAATAAATAATAGTTATCAGACCAAGTAAGTGAAATTAGCACACCTGGTGATGGAAATCACTGCCAAAAAATCCCCATAACCTGACAAATGACAGAAATGTACCTTTTCTGACATCATCCTCAGGGTAGAGACTTGTTTTTCAACAACTCTGAGAAACAAGGCTTTGACACTACGTGACATTTTGTCTAAAATTGCTAGACAGAGCCATTTTATGACGCTTTTGGTGATTGGCCACTAAAATTACACACAGAGTTAGCAGACAAAGTAGAATGCACTGCTGCGTACCAAAAATACTGACTGATTGAATGTATGTTTGAATGTCCGTGTTTGGACAAAACAAAGTCAGTTTGAATTAATGCTTGTTTCCATATGTGGCTTAAAAAGGATTGAATGAGTGAATGAATGAGGTAAAACGTGTACAACTAACGTGTATTTTACACTGAATTAAGCTTTACATCTGTGAAATGTTTAGTTGAATTTGGACGTGCATTTCTTCACGTACTTCACTGCTATATTTAAACTAGGGCTGTAATCAACCAATGAAAGTCTCGGTCAACTGAAGCTGCCAAAATTTCCACTGAAAATTGACTAATCGCAGTGCTTAATAGCCTTGTCCATGTAAATTAATTATAAATAAACATAAAGACTACTAGTCCATTTGGTTTATATTATATCAGTTTTGACCTAATTATTTTGCACCGAAATGAATTACACACTTGAGTCTGTCGGCTCTGACAGCCTTGTTACTTGCAAACTTTTCGTTCAACTTTTTTTCTATATATCTAATTTTGTAAAACGCTACCACACTGTGGATTCCTTTGACAAAACAAAAACCAGCCACGACATATCAACCAAACATATTGAGCAATTGACTCAGAGATTACAGTCCTAATTTAAAGACCTATAACTCTGCTGCCTCTGCACAGTGAAGATACTATTAAATACATAGAGTGTATAAGTGTATACTTTAAGTCATACTAACCAGGAGTAACCACCCGGTGCAATTTATGACTAGTGTCTTTTTTTATATATTGCGTTACATATTACTGTATTATGATATTGCTAATATGAATAAAGATAATACTTATTCCATTTAATGACTTTTTTAATGTGCATTTACTTCATATTAAAATATTTTGCGGAAATATTAAGGCATGAAATTAACAAAACATTATAATTACTATCCAAAGTCAGAATAAAGAACGATTAGGGCTAAACCTCTGTTGATACTTCCAGGTACGTATGATCCAATCATATTTCAGTCTCATGTGTCATCAGGTTTAACGAAATCTATCCTAAAGTCTTCAGAATCTCAAGAGTTGGCGTTCTAGAGCCTAAAACTAAAAGGCAATGAGACTGTTTCTTCCAACAGAACCAGAGTTCCGTTGTCGATTTGAGTGATTCGATTGTATGGTCATAGAACGCGTTCCCCTAAATCCACCCAGCTGTATCTAGCTAATTGCATGCTAGCTAGTTATTCTCACTCCTCTACTGTTGAGCGGACGATCTCAGCCTAAAGCGATTTAAAACGTTTTCCGTAAATAATTCCGTAAAAACGACAGAACATACTGGACCTTCTGCTTTAGAAGGGATGACGACAGAACATGACTAGTTGTTGAAACTGCAACTCGTGGATAATTTATGCAACGGAGTGACTGATGTCATCTTACAAGTTTTGGTGAGTAAAATGCTTTCTGTCTTTTAAATAATATTGTAATTTTATTGTGTTACTATTGATGCTTTTTGATGTACATTTAGTCGCAGCTGTGACTGGATTTGTGCTTCGTTGTTTCGTTGCTTTACTAGTGGTGTTATTATGGCAACATTGGGTATCTCGGATATGACAGCTTGTTGTGCTACGTTTCTGCATATATTTGTGGTTTCTGTAGACATAATGACGTCATTACGATATGGATTCATTCAGTAAGGACGCCACTCAAGGCCTAGGCCTAAGTATGACAAAGTTTAATATTTCTGAGATTTTAGAACCACATCTCGACTTGTGATGGTCCCCTTAGGGACGCCACAGGTAACTGACTAATTGTGTATACTAAAAAAAATAAATAAAAAAAAACAGAACAAAAAACAAACATCTTTGAAATACTCAAAGTCCAAGTGGTTCTTCTTTTTTTTAAAGGTAAAATGTTGCCATAATCTCTCCCTAATGTGTAAAATCTGAAACAATTAATGTATGCAGATTATTGTCATATATAAAAGAATATTTATTAATTAATTTTTTTTTTTAATTTTCACTTTGAATTGGCTTTTTTGCTGTTTTTGCTCATGTCAAATTACACATATTTACTGGGTTAACTAGTGTGCTCATTTTTGCAGATAAGATGGAAACTTGCTGTGCCACTCAGTGCTTTTCATCTTCCTCCTCTTCTTGTTACCTTTAGCTGACGTGACTCACTCCTCACTTTATCATCTGACACAGTTTGTATGCACAGTGATGTGGATTCGTCCGTTAGACAGAGGAAGTAAAGCTGGGACATCAAGGCCATCAGCACTTCACAGATGAGTCATTTTCTCATTTTACACTGACAGATTATTACGGATTTGACTGCAGCATCTGAAGCACATCACAGAACATCAAATGGTTTGCTGATAATTTATAGCAACACTTGTATATAATAAAAACATCAGATGTAACATAGCCTTACCATCGTGAAAAAA